TGAGCACGGAACGTTTCAGGTTCGGTGCCCGCGGTGAAACATTCTTGATCTGTTTACCGCCTAAAAATTGAGAAGATCGTGCCCTAATGTCAACATTAGCATTTATTTCTAAAACTTTTACATAGTTTTGAAGAAACTGCATAAGACTTTGAAAAGAAGGAATTTCCGATTTATTTTCAGATTCGAAGCGGTGGCGCGTATCTGCGTCCAGTGCGCGAAACGCTGCGTTAAATAAAATAAAATCGCCTAAGTCATCTAGCTCTAAGGCCTTAAGGGCATTGACTGACTCACAAAGAATATTAGTATATGTTTGTAAATCATTGAAATTAGGAGTTTTTAAATAAGGATAGTTATTTATTTGATCTAAATACGCCACGGCTAAAATGCGCTTATTTTGATAACGCTTAATAAGTTCATTGAATACAAGCTCATAATTATCGGAAGTTAATTTTACCTTCTTTGCGATTCCTAAGGCGGATCCCGATAAACAAGAAATGAGATAGTGAAATTTAGTAATATTCGCGATTGATTTATTATTATGAATTAAGGTTACGAAAGTGTCGTAAAATGTTTGCCAATTCTCAATTTTTCCGTCGAACTTCAGAAGCTCAATTTGTGGCAGTCTAGCTTGTATCTTTTCCGCGTCGGGCGTAAAGGTGTAGTTAACGTCAGCGGACGTTGGGCTGCTGCTTCGTTTGCGCTCCGGTAGGGACATCTCTGCGGCAAAACTTAGGACTTCATAGTACATATCATCAAATGCAGACAACGCTTGCATATCTATTTTTTCTTTAGGAAACAGTGTCAGTTTTAACGAATTAATTTTTTCCGTAAGCAACACATATTCATCACGAATGTTCTCAATTTTAAGAAATCTAGATTTAAATTGGCTAACTTTAGATGAACTGGAGTCTTCTCGTATTTGAGTGGATAAATCGAAAAGAGTTTGAATAGAACGAAAAACATACTCTCGCTGTGACGTATAAAGTTTAAGTTTCATTTCTTCTTGCGACATGATTATAAAATAACAGCGAAATATTAAATATGAACGTTAAGTATAATTATTAACGACAGATATTTAAATCAATATTTAAGTTTGTCAAAACTAAATTAACACTCAAATACTGAATTTAATGTTAAAGTTTTTTAACTGTTTGAATTAGATAACAATTAACAAACGGCCTAACATTCAAAGATATACCAGTATTTATATTTAAGTGCTATTATTCCAAGACCAAATGAATCATTTCCATAAACTGATTTAGTAATTTTTTCCAACAATAATTATAAAATACCCTCAAATTATAATAATTTTCAAAGCGTAAGACTATCAATGCACATTCGAAATAAACTTAGCAATTATAACGCAACCAAATAAGATAAGTCTACAAAGTCTGAGCAATACGAAACACTTCACGAGCATTCAAGTCTAGCAGGATTATAATTGAAATGAATTAGTTACTTTCAATTATAAGAAAAATAGATTAAATATCAAAGTTTTCCTTAGAAATTGAACTTGATATTATGTTAATAAGGAGCAGACTGTATAAAAATAGAAATCCATAGGTACCCGGATCGTATGGACCAGAAATTATGTTACGGCTTGAATGTTTCACAATGTGTTTCGTAGGGTGGTTTTGGGAACCAGAGAACAACCAGACCAAGGGCTGGCTAACCCGATGATCCCAATCAGGAAGTAAATGAAAATAGCTTTAGAACTGGGTAGATAAGGCAAGGATACTCACAAGACTGGAGCACTCCTCGTGGTTATGGTGAAATCTAAATATTTAGGCTGAAGTTCTCGTGTATACACAGACACCACACTGCACTTCGAATGTATATGGACACGAGCAATTGCACGATAGTCTTACAACTTATTTATTGAGTATTTTTAAACGAGCAGTAACGAACACGTTTTATGCGTGCGCGGCCATCTTGCTTCTTCTTTTTCCTTGACGATAGGTGGCGCACCATTTTGAGTAGTGCGTATATGGGGGAGGCGGGAGGATAGGAAATACCTAGGAAAAGGATATTATATCGGGACTGTTCCGAAGCCACAACAACATCTATCCTCAATAAAGACTCAAAATGCAGATGCGTTGTCACCCGTGAGGACTAAGATGGAATGCCTCTTTTCCAGTAAAAAGGGTCTCCGGTTCCCTACAGTCACCATACGAAACACAGCAGTGTTAAGCTGCTATTTTACGCTGGTATTCTGTGAGAGCGTGGTCCTTCCCCGGTCGAGCCGACCCATTCGTGCTACAACTATACTACTAATATAGCTGCAGCATGGGTCTACCACGTATAATAAATAACTGAAAACAAATATATATTGTAGTGGGGGCTACACTACACCTCCCACCGACAAAACAATAAAAAATGATGCTATATTTTTTATAATAATTCTTAATATTATTTTAAACGTATTTAAATAATATCTAAATGAAACTAAAATCTAAGGCATAGTATCTAGTTTTAGGAGGGCGTTTGACTAAACCCTTTAGCACATAAAAATGTGTAGTCAGTTTAGTATAATTGACATAATCAGACTTAATATTATGTTTTGACTTTCGCAAATATTAACGTTATTATTCATTCATATCATTAGTCATCAAGATATGTCATCTAATTCGGACATTTATTAATACATAGTAATTTTCCCTTATATATTTTTTCCTCCTTATAATTTTCATTTTGTTCTTTACCATCTTTTTTTATATTTGGTTAGGCATTATTTATCTTTCATTGTTTAATACTTAATTACTTAATAGCATTTTAGCTACATATTCCTTAAATATTTTCTTATAATTATTTTTTCACAATATAGCTCTAGTGCATTTTAACTCAATCGCCTAGTTATTAAGTCATTTAGTGCTTTTCCCTTATATATTTAGGTGAATATTTGCAAATGAATATATTAGATAATTTTAAGGAATGAAAAAATAGTACTTACAAAACTGTTCTTTAGATATTTAAAACAAAGCTGATAGCATACACATACAAAAAAATGCGTGAGACCAAAAATAAGCCTTTATACGTCACAATTTGGATCTGAAATTATTGTGCAAACGGTAATGAGAAATTAAACAAATGGTAAAGAGAATTTTAAAGCTATTTTGCGCTTTTCTTGAATCTGAAATTTGTAGTGGTTTAGTAATTTACACGGCAGTTTAAATATAGCATGTATTGAAACAAAATTACATTTAAATAGAAAAAATACCTACTTACCATTCCAGCTGGCTCCTTACCATTCAGGTAAAATGTGAACGGGAAAAATGGTAATCAGTAAAATGGTAAGTAGATATTTGTGTACGTTGCATTATTTATTAGATTTACGAGACTAAATACGTTATCAGACGAGAAATAATCTTATGGCAAATATTTAGATCATTAATTAAATTAATCTTAACAAATAACTTACCTTTAGAAGACACGAACGGTAAGGAGATTTTATTTTGACCTGGACGATTTTTTGTAGATTATTAATTTTTCTTTGGCGACAAATCGCTCTTTAAAATGTGTGATCTGCTCAAGGCACTAGCGGGCACAGAGGTCGTGGTGAGGAGTCTTCGTGAGGATTACATTTACCATTGGGTACAATTCTATTTCACTGTCAGTATTCGCGAACGGTAAGTAGTACGAAGGGTGGGACAATTTTTGAATTGGTATAAAATGAACTGAAACTGTTCTTTATATCATATATTTTATTTCAGTTTATACATCTATTATATTTACTAAATAATAAGAAAAAATGTTATTCTTCGAAGGTATCGTTTAATTTTTCTTATCATAATGGTTGAAAATTGGGAAAAGGGACACGAATGGTAATGAGGTTTTGGGAACAATTTTTTTTATAAAATGGCTTATAGCTTATAAAACACAATAAATTGATCTGCAATATGTACCCCACTTAATTAACTATGTATATAAAAAAAAGTGATTAAAATCATCAAAAATGTACGTTTTCAAATATTCACCCATTTTTCATTTTAACTACTTAGCATTTTAGCTATACTTTATTAGACAATTGTGTCATTTCTTTCACATACACGACTCGCGTAGATACATGATCAAGACAATGACCAATATTATTTCATTCATCATTCATTATCCTTCTTTTACAAGTCCAACTGCTGGACATAGGCCTCCCCCAAGGAATACCACAAAGCACAGTCCTGAGCCACCTGCATCCATCGACTTCCTGCATGTCTTACCAGTTCGTCACTACATCTAGTGCGGGGACGCCCTACACTTCGTCCGCCGGTACGAAACCGCCACTCGAGAACCTTTTTTACCCATCGGTTGTCGGTGTTTCGAGCTGTATGGCCAGTCCATTGCCACTGCAGCTTACCAATTTGTTGGGCTATGTCGGTCACTCTGGTTCTACTGCGGATATCCTCATTTCTAAGTTTATCACGCAGAGAAACCCCGAGCATAGCCCACTCCATAGCTTGCTGAGCAACTTTGAGCTTCCTCATATGGCCAGCAGTGAAGGACCATAGCTCAGTTACATATGTCATCACTGGCAACACGCACTGGTTGTACAGTCTATCATTACATTACAATACAGCCATCATACCCCATGTAGTGGCCACTGCTGAACATAGGTTTCCTATATAGATTGCCTCATTGGGAAAATATTTGCCATAATTGCCACACTTGGCAAACGTATTGGCAACCGCAGTTTTTTATTTTTGTTATTAGGAAGACTGCTGCCATGTTCTAGTCAAACGTGCAAACGATGGTAAATTGAACAAGTGAAACGTTTGTGAACATTTCTGTTGGTCTTAAGAAAGAAAACTCTTAAAAAGTATTTATTTTGTATATTTTGTTACATCTTTGGAGATCACCATTTTTCGACTGCCTTGATTTTTGTCTATTAAATGAACATAATATAATATGATTCACGTATTATATTTAAGAACTAATTTTATCACATTTTCTTTTTGTTCATCTCCATGGTAACTTGAAACAATGTCTTTAACAATCTGTTAAACGGAACTTCAACCATTAAATGTAGCGGTATTGCTACCAGGTACGATAAAGTTACAATGCCCAGATAGTTTATAATCTACAAAAAATAACGACATATTAAATACGTATGAGTGGTAAAATTATTCTTTTTATTAATATTTTTTCATCCTTATCAATTTACGATTTCGATGTTTTTTTTTTTAATTGGAGTGACAAACGAACACACAGATTATAATAAGATTTATAATAATATCATCATAATATTTCTCAAAGGGCCGGCAGCGGATCTGCAATTACCCTGGTGTTGCGGTTGTTCATGGGCGGTGGCAGCCACTTACAATCAGGTGAGCCGCATGCTCGTTTGCCCCCTCTCCTATAAAAAAAATCATAAGGTGAACTGAGTGTTTGTTTATCAACCAATTTGAAAAAAAGTTAAACAGATGTCTTATCATTTCTGAGGAGCAAGAGGGGATGCGTCACAACATGAAATTATATGGCGTCTCTTCACCCTTCAGATCGGACAGTGTCCAAATCGGACACTGTTGCTAGGCGGCTTGCTGCTAGATACCGACCCAGATGAACTTCTAGGCAGAAGACCTATGTATTTCCCCAAGAATTCGCTATATGACAAATTTCTTGGAAGAAATTTCCAAACCCCCACGCATGGGTGATTCAGCGCAAAACTGACATCCTATATGAACTGACCTTAACTAGTATAGAATGGAATATAAAATAATATTTTTATTCAATATGTATATTATGTAGATTACAAGTAATTCTTATTTATTTTATGCTTGGTACTCGTAATAGTGAGTCTTTCTATATTTTCTGAGACTTTGTTATAAAAGAGTGTACCTTGCCCTACGAATGAATTACTGACTCTGCGGAATCGAGTAACTGGTATCACTAGCTTGGGTTTGTTCGTAATATTTACACAATGCATATCACTTTTTTATTAAAACTACTTTTGTTTTGTGGACATAAATATTTATTTCTTTAAAATTTTCTCTGAGCAACCCTTTCGGTTTTAGATTTTAAATAACTCTTATGGTCTTATGATAAAAATAAAAATGATTACATAACAATTTTGACAATGTTGTCTCGTTTCGAGTCTCGACCCGAAAGTCCCGGGATTCGAGACAACTTAATTTGCGAAAGTCACGGGACTTCGAGACACGAGATGTCCCGGGACCCAAACCCTACCTGGTATTTTACGCTCGTATTATATAATTAATAGAATCAGGCGTTACTTTGCGGAAATCCATTATATAAAAGCTTTTAGAAAAATTTACTTCGCAAAGATCCGCGTTATAAAATAAATAATTCCAGTACCGCTACTCCCAACACCACTAGTAGCGGTGCTGGGGTTAGTGGTGACGGGAATAGTGCACGCAATTGAGCGAGGGCGGGAAGTGCTCTTCATACTAGATAAGACACATCATTTTATTTTATAACGCGGATATTTGCGAAGTAAATTTTTCTAAAAGCTCGTATTATATGACAGCGTGGTCCTTCCCCAGTCGACCCGAGCTATTCTTGCTGCTTTAATCCATTACAGTGTAGCTCTACCATATATGGTATGATTGATTACAATTTAGAAAGCGCATTAAATCTTACCACGTAAAAGAAAGAAACGTGACCCAATTGTGTTCTGGCTCCGAGTAGAATGTGGACCATATTCAGGTGCAACAGAAGGGCGCAGTAGGTTAACTTGCTCAGCAACACCCAGCCGTCCCATTCAAGTATATGACGCTGCACATCTAACATTATAGTCCTAAATTTAGTATAATACACAAATTAAGGTATGTTTCATAAACACATTGTATATTGTGGAATGTTCTTTTTTTATGCGATAATTCTTGTCGTAAGTCTTTGATAAATTATGTCCGCCATATCTATTTAATGCTGTCATATACTCGTGGACTCGTAGTTCCTTAGAGTAATTAAGTAAAAAGTTTCATGTGGGCACCCGCTGTGGCACTAGTAGTATACACTCATAAGCACGCTCGTGTTTCATTTTTTTAGTTTGGAGATAACATTATTCCCTCTATAGAAAGTAACAGTGGTTTCTAGTAACGTATGCGCAGTTCATGCTGTTCCGGAATAATTACATATAGAAATAGGCAGAATAAGGCAGATATAGAAATGAACGTACATACATTAATATTATCCGAAATATTATTCGACTTTTAGAATTCGACATACTCGGTAAAAATTTATGTCTGTAATGCAACAAGTGTAGGTAATTTAAAAAAAAGGTAAGTACGGGAATGCATTAAATTCTTTTCAAGTGACAACCTTACTACTACGTAACGAATGGGGCTCTGGCGAGCGATTAACGGAAAGAACTGAAATAAAAAGACAGAAATAACAGACAAGAAGACTGAGAAACTTTTTCTTTTTCTTTTCACTTTTTTATATTACTAATAACAAATGTAATAATGCTAAGATATATTAATTTGATATTTTCTCACTTATTTTCAAATGAAATTTATTGTTTAAAATAAGCGTTATGTCTATTCTGCTATTGAAATACTCTGTATTTACTACGATTTTCATAAAATAATAATAAATAGTTAAAAAATAAAATAACTAAATCAATTTGCAAGAACATAAGCAATATTTTAAATCCATTCATGCAACATCAGTGCTGCTTTTACAAGTAGCAGTAACATTAGAGCTTCTTACATAAGAAGCAGCGATATTAGTGCACAGATGTCGAATGAGGAAAATAAATGAACACGTTTATTTTGTGGTTAATATAAAAGAGTAATTTGTATATGTTCCTGATCGTTGCTGCTGGTGACAAGAGGGCTGGTTCTTTTCCCGCTCAAAGGCTAAGTATAGCTATTCAGCTAGGAAACGCAGCCAGTGTTCTTGGCACGATACTGCGGGGAGTAGAACTATATGATATGTAAGTTTCTAGTTTTAGTTTTTTTTTTTTTACATTATTATAGTTTTTAATATTGTATATAATAAAATATTGTTCCTTATTTTTTATTTTATATATATTTCTAAGACATGTGAAGTTCGCTAACACGCATTAGGGCAGTGCAGCGGACAATTCCTTACCCTAAGATCCTCACAAAAATGAGAGGTGGCCTGTGCCCAGCAGTGAGACGTATATAAACTTTAAATTTAACTTTTGACATTTTATGCACTGCGGACGAGGTGGAGGAAAACTCGTGTTAACCGGGCGGTAATAGCGCACGCATTTCAACGTTTCCAACATGGGGGGAATTCCCCAAATTGCGGGGAATTTAAAGCTGTATGGGGATTGGTATTATGCGGGGAAAACGCGGGGATTTAGAAAACCGATAGCCTGGGACAAGTCAGAACTAATTCCATTAAATCTAAATACTTTACTATTTAGGTTTACTATTTTGGTAATAATGGCTTAGACACAAAATATAGATATATACTGTCGGCGACTTTTTTGTAGAACCATTTAGAAGAAACAATTCCACCATACATTATATGCGTGTAACTTACAGTTTTTGCACCGCACGCCAAAATAGCTCGTACATTATAGATTTTTTCCGACCTACTTAAAATTTATCGTTATATTTTGGCAAATTTACACAATATCCATATTGATTATAGCTTATGCGTTATTCTGATGTATAAGCTATATTATTGTAAAGTTACATTAAAATCCATTCAGTAGTTTTGCGTGAAAGAGTAACAAACATCCATAAATCCTCACAAACTTTCACATTTATAATATTAGTAGGAAGTGGCATGATATAGTATTATTTCAGTTTTTTTAAATATGATTGAATAATGCTGCTTCTACTTTTGTTTGATATTATCCCAAATTTAATGTGATTTATGGGCAACAACGATTTTGCCTACCGATCGAGCATTAACACGCATTTTGAATTTTTTGTCTTTACCATTTGCCTATATTCCTTATTCTGAATATTTTCTGCAAATTTGTCCGGTTATTAAAAGATAACCCTGTATAAAAAAACTTTGGTCCAAAAAGTACTTACTTTCAATTTTAAACACTAAACCAAGAATAACAAAGGCTGTGATAACTCCTAAAATCGCCCGATGAGTCGCTGCATATGTCATTCTAATCACGAGCGATAGCCGTGTCTCCGTATAGAATACACTTCCTGTCAAAATGAGCCCCACTACGCCAGGTACCACACACCAAGCGAGATATTGCCATATCTGAAATGAAACATAAATATAAAGCAAATTATTGATAGAAATAACTATATAACACATTAAAGTTTGTTACTAACTAGGTTCAAAAATAGTTTTGAGCCTACAAATGTGAAATAATGCGACAAGAATGAAAATGAAACACCTTATGCCTAAACACTTCAACTCGATTCTTCTGCCAGCTATACGCGAAGTAGCCAGAGACCATTCCAATGATAAAGCATGAAAGATTATTGTGGCCCAAGACGTGAAGGTACCGATATGTTTCGTTCCAGAAGCTTCGATAAAATCTGTGAAAATTATTGTACGAAACGAATTAAAATTATTATAAAACGATTTATTAACTTTTTTTAAATATAAATATGAAACACTGTGAGATATAAAAGTACTCTGGACGTAGACTGTCTTCGTAAGAAGTTTTGGCCAGAATCAATTAGTAAGCTGGCTTATTCTCAATAAGGTGTAAGTGTAAGTATCAAGCATATGCAATGTTTGTGTAAGATATGGAAAAGGAAAGAAATGGGAGATTGAGAACGAAAGTATTGAGGGAAAAGGCCAAAAGAAGAATACAAAAAAGGGCAAGGATATTGTTACCTTGTAAGCTATCACCAATAATAGAAAAAATAATATACACAGCAAAAATATAATTTTTAAGTAAAAGCCGGTTTTAAAACCCTAAAATAATTTCATATTCGAATGTCTCCAACATATTGTACAAACAAGAATTCTTTTAGTTCTTTGAAGTTGACTTTTACCTTTTGTTGAAAATTATTTTTTACCCTTATGAGCGAACTAAGAAATATCACAATTTCAAGGTCGTCTAAACAGTAACATTAAAAAAAACTTTGAACCGCATTTTGCCTACCTTAGGAGGGGGGGATTCTTTCCAATCAAATTTATATAAGACTACTTCTAAAGTATAATATATTTAATTAGCAACAACCATCAAAGTTTGTTCAGAATTGAGGAAGATAGGACGGACAACATATAGTCGAATTGTAAACCGCCTGCTAAAAAAAGGCTCTGAGGATTCAACCCTCATAGCCTTTTCTCTACAAAGAAGAAAAGGTTATAAGGCAAAAGAATCTACAAAAATATTGAAAAAGACTAAACTATTCTTTTCTTAAACTATTTTTCCCCAACACAATATAGAAAAAAATAATGAGTATGAAAAAGCGAATAACTAACGAAATTCCCTCAAATCAGTAAATCCGTTGCTTTAAAAGAATTTCGGTGATTTTAAGTAGTTATTATACAACGTACTCAGGTTTAAATATAACGAGAGCATCAAGATCCTGAAACCAAACGTGCAGTGCCGGTGCTGCCATACTAAACAGTAGTAGAAGAGTTATAACCAAAGATCTTCCTTTTGATTTAGTAGCTATATACATAATTGATCCCAGAACGAAAAGCTGCATATCAGCGGCTAGATGCCTGAAATACAACAATAATTAAAATAAACATAAACAGAGTTATTATTGAATTAAATTTAAATTTACGCCATTATTAGTAGATTTTTTAGTGATACTATTGTTTGGAGGAGAGTCCGTCGCGTGATTTCAATATGGCTTTGTGAAATTCAAATGTACTCAGGAAAGTTCAATTGAATTTGTAATAATTTGGAGTGCATTTAAATTTCAGAAACGGTAGCCATGATGAAACTTAATTAAAATTTTAAAATGACTAAAATTATCGTTGGTAAAATTTCTAATGTTATCGATGAGTATATCTACTTCGATCATACAGCAGAAGTAGGTACATTTAGGAGGGATCAATTTGGTCGAGATTCATCAGAGAAAATAAATGAGGCTGGGTGATCTGAAGGTTCCAAATCGGTATAAGCTTAAGTAAGTATAGTCATAAATTCTAAATAAGGGAAGCAACTGAACATTGCCGTAACGGAAAGTGAAGTCGTATTAAAAACAAACTTAATTTTGAAATAGATATTATGATTATAGGTTTATGCGCATCAAAATATGTAACTTAAATGGCGGTGGACCTTAATATTTAATAAAAAGTACAACTTGATATCTCTACTTATTTTTAAGAAAAATGGTCTTTACATATGGTAAGAAAGGCGGACGGACATCTTATAAGGATTCCTTTTTTCTTTTAAGGTACCTACATGACCCTCATAATCAAAATCTCTTTCGAGATATTATTAGTCGATTGCAAAACATCTCGGCGTGAAGTGGTATGAATTTATTTAGTGGCTAGAGACTTGTATTTCACTCAGCAGGGTGGATGCAGCGATTGTGTCACTTGGGTTTTTTTGTATGATAGTGGTCTAAAGAATAAATTTCTTTTTACATATACATAAATAAATGCGACGATTGCGTACCATGTATGTACAGCGCAAGCTTTGTCTTCTGGAAAATAATTATTGATATAGAAAATATGCGCCCACCAGTATTGTCTACAATCTGATACTACACTCATAACATAAAGTTTCCACAGTGGGCCGGATCCTAGATATCGGAGCCAAGTGGCTGTAAACAAAATCATCAAAAAATACACCGGCGTCAATCTGTAAAATATTTAAAAGTATTAGAGAAAAATTCAAACAAATCTTAAATATGTGTGTTGATTCATATATGTAATTCATTGTGAATTGAAAAAAATGCCGTGTCTATAGAAATAATATAATGTGTGTTAGCGGAATTGTACATTGCTCCATTTTATCTCGTCGGTGTAGTAAGACGGGATTATTGGAATTGCCAGAAAGATGTCATGGTTATCGGAAACCGCGGCAGTATAACACTCCAGTATATATCCGTAGGTATATGAATGTAACGGCGGCTAGAGATGTGTAAGGTCGAAGTAAGAGGATAAGCATGGCGATTTTACTGAAACAGGGGAGACTCATGCTCATTAATATACTTTTACGGGATGATGATGATGATTACTTTTTCTTGACGAAATATAATTGAACAAATTTGTATAAAGCAACAGATATAGGGATTTATGACATACCTCCACAATCTGTAAAGAAATATATTAGGCAGCAATGACCACGTTACTGGTACATTTTCCGATAAAACTTCCAGATTGTAGACCATGAGAAAGCCAGTGGACCTCGCACGTTACAATCTCTAATAGTTCGCAAGTTCTGGATTTTAGGAATTAGAAATCTTATTCGTTCTATTTTAACAAAGTGTGTGACTTGCTTTCGGGTTAAACCTGTACCCTATCAGCCATCTATGGGCAACCTGCCACCTTGTAGATGTCAACAAGTTTACTGTTTTCAACAGGTAGGGATCGACTTTGGCGGTCCTTTTCTTATAAAAGAAAACAGACGACGTAACGCACGGGTCAGTAAGGCTTACATATGCTTGTTCATTTGCTTATCTGTAAAAGCAGTTCATTTAGAACTCGTATCTGAACTGTCTACAGAAGCGTTTCTAGCCGCCCTAGACAGATTCGTGTCTCGACGTGGAATATGTCAACATATTGTGACCTTAAAGACTAAAAGAGGCTTACTTACAAGACCAGTAGTCAAAGTCTGCCCTCTTCCTCTTGATTGGATCTTATTTTTATTGTTTTATTAAGCTAGATTTAAGTTCTAATTTTATAATTAAATTAACTAAGTTTGATTTTCTTTTGTAGTTTAGTTAAGGTTATCAAAGCACAATTTAGCTCAGATATCTATTTGGTTTATATTAATTTATATTCTATGAGCAACTGGGGACCTGGAGAGCTGCCGGGTCGATGGTTGTCTTGTGAAATCCCTAGGTGATTTCAGGTGGGAGGGAATGTTGTGGCTTCGGAACAGTCCCGATATAATATCCTTTTCCTAAGTATTTCCTATCCTCCATATACGCACTACTCAAAATGGTGCGCCACCTATCGTCAAGGAAAAAGAAGAAGCAAGATGGCCGCGCACGCATAAAACGTGTTCGTTACTGCTCGTTTAAAAATACTCCATAAATAAGTTGTAAGACTATCGTGCAATTGCTCGTGTCCATATACATTCGAAGTGCAGTGTGGTGTCTGTGTATACACGAGAACTTCAGCCTAAATATTTAGACTTCACCATAACCACGAGGAGTGCTCCAGTCTTGTGAGTATCCTTGCCTTATCTACCCAGTTCTAAAGCTATTTTCATTTACTTCCTGATTGGGATCATCGGGTTAGCCAGCCCTTGGTCTGGTTGTTCTCTGGTTCCCAAAACCACCCTACGAAACACATTGTGAAACATTCAAGCCGTAACAGATGTAGATGTCTATGAGTCACAGTAACCATTTATCATCAGGTGCTCGTTTGTCACCCTATCCTATAAAAAAAGTACAATAAGAGTAGAATAATTAAAGTCTTGGACTGAGCAACACGTTTCTATTCACATAACACCTATCCTACATTACAATGTATTTGTATATAGGTATGTATATGTATTGGTTTTTTGTATAGTGTATTCATTAGTAAACTATTTATATTACGTGGTTAATTATCATTTTTATTTCGTTTTTTTTTTAATTTTATGTGCTACACCTACGTCAAGTTCTCACCACTCCATCGGTTGACTGGTAACGGATGCCTCGAAGTATTCTGTTCACCATTTGAATTTCTTTGTTTTAAGAAATGCAATAAAGAATAAGTAAATAAATAAAATAAAAATATTTGAGGTAACAGATGAACATACATACATAGCCTTCTAAAATCCGAAGATGGTTGTCCTGGAATAAGTTTGGGTCTTCGAAGAAGCTTGAAATGTATCCGAATAGACATAGAATTAGGATGATTCCTTACTATCTCTGCTACATTATTAGGATGTTAATGAATAATCTTATACGGTCCTTTAAATACCGGTTTAGTTTTGTCCACGTGCTTACAAACTATTTCACCTACCTTGAACGTTATTTCCTCTGCTGCCTGGTTTCGCTTCGCTATCATCTGTTCCTTGTTTTATGACTTGTGCCCCGACACACATTCCTGAACGGTTTCTGCATGCATCTTGTGCTTGATAACATAGTCCAGGTAAAACTGCTTAGGGTAATGTAACTCTAGTGGATTTCTAGAAGCTTTATGCCCAAATAGTAACTCGTGTGGAGTATATTCTGTTGCCGAATGGATCGAGTTGTTGTAAGGAATGACTGAAAATTTCATAATTAATTGTATGGGATCATTTTTGTTTGTCATTCGTTGGATTATGACAATCTTTCCTATAGTCGAATGAAAACGTGCTACGGGTGAGTTCGAATTTAGATTGTATGGAGTTGTGAAGTGAATGTTGATACCATGTAAAGCGCGCATTTCCTTTATAACTTCATTGTCGAATTTACTGTCTAAAACCGATATAATTTTGTGAGGAACTCCTAAAACTGAGTACACTTGAAATAAAGCTTCATCTATATGTACACTACTAGTGGCGTTTAACGGTATTGCTTGGACGAACTTTGAGAAATTGTCTATTATAGTAAGGAAGGTGGCACTGCCTGTCCAATGCATATTCATAAATATATGTTGTATAGGTTTTGTAGGCGTTTCCGTTATGGCTAATAAGAGTCTAAGAGAGTTTCTTTCATATTTAGCTTGTAAACAGATACTTCATTGATTAATGAATGCCTGGATTGTGAGTAGCATGTGAGGCCAATGTTAGTTTCTATGGTTTGTTTGTATGTCTCCTGGATACCACGATGCACAGTTTTGCTTTCATGATATTTCTTAATTATTTGTTGTTGTTCTGTTTTGTTTTCGACAAGGGTAACGCGTGAAATACATCTAAAATGTTTAGGGCCTCTGTCATTAAATACCGTCATAAAACTCTGGAGAATGCTAGTTATAGTTCTTCGTTATAAATGTAGCAGTAGAATATGCGATTACAAATAGTGTATTATTTTAAGAATTTAATGATTTCCTTCTCTGTAATGGCTGGAATAAATACATCTTTAATTACTGTTCTAGAATTAGTAGACCTATTTTCTACTGTGCATGTTGATCCTGGAGTCGACTTGATATGTAATTGTTTTAGTTATCTGTCGATCGCATCTGATAAGATTGGATCATGAAGTTTGAAAATTTAAGATGCTCTCATGATAAATTTTAACTCTAACTTTAAAGCATCTGCATTGGTACTTTATCGTCCTTTTTTATAAACGACTGTGTAATCATATTCAGCGAGTTTAAGTCACCACCTAGTCAATTTAGAATTAGGATCTTTTAGTGACATAAGCCATGTCAGGGGTCTACGGTCGAAATATATAACAAACTTTAGTCCATAGAGATAAGGCCGAAAGTATTTCACTGCCCAAACGATGGCTAAAAGCTCCTTTTCTACTGTCGAGTGTTTTGCTTCTGTATCCGAAAGTGTCCTCGATGCGTATGCTACCGGTTTACCTAAGCCTATCTTTCCTTGAGACAGTACTGCACCAAGAGCTACGATGCGTCTTTTGTCAGTATGAATTGTTCGTCAAAGTTTGGGTACTGCAGTATGGGAGCTTGGTTAAAATATGTTTGCAATTATTAAAGGATTCTTAAAATTCCGGGGAGTGTATAACTTTACTATTTTTCTTAAGACATAAGATCATCGGTTTCGTAAGCTTGGCAAAGTCTTTTATGAAGTTTCTGTAGTAGCCTACTAGTTCTAAAAAGTTTTTAATATCCTTGTGTGTTTTTGGTAGTGGGAAGTTTAAAACTGCTTTAACTGCTTTTGTTCTGATTAGGCTTTAGTCCTTGATCAATTAGTTCATGGCCTAAAAATGTGACGTGTTTTTGAAGGAACTCTGACGTGCCTAACTAAATTTTCAGATTATGTGTATTGTAATCTTTCAAAAACTTGTTTCAGCTTTTCTATATGCTACTGCAATGACGTTGAAATTATTATGACGTCATCGACATAAGTGCAAACGTTGTTAATACTTCTAAGGATGTGGTCCATGAGCGGTTGAAAAGTACTGGGTGCATTTTTTAGACCGAATGGGAATATAACGAATTAGTAAAGCCCCTCCCTGTTGTGAATACAGTTTTATCTTTGTCATTAGGGTGCATCTCTACCTGATGGTAGCCGTTCGCCAGATCTAAGGTCATAAAACATTGGCTGCGTCCAAGTCTGTCTAAGATGTCATCTATGTTGGGAAGTGGGTACTTGTCTTCTGCTATTCAATCGTTTAGTCTTCTATAGTCTATATAGTAGTCTTCTATAGACTAACCTCCGTTTTACCCTACCTAGTGCGTCCGGTTTGTAGGGACAATATAAACAGGGAATGATCACGGGGATATACTTCTTTAGGCAGCTATGTAAGTTTAAAAAGACCAGTATCACTCACAGTGAGCATGCAAGATTTATTGTGAATGCTGCTATGATAATAGTTCACCGCTATGATCTATACCTTCAATGAATGGAAGAAATTATCTGTAACTTCAATTTTAGTTTAGTTTACAGCTACTCCAAGTTCTGTCTTGAAACTTGTTCTTTTTTATAAGATTTTTTTTTATTTCAGGTTACCGTTACAGCCTATTAAAAGTCCACTGCTGAACATAGGTTTCCTATATAGATTACCTCATTGGAAAAATCTTTGCCATAATTGCCACATTTGGCAAACGTATTGGCAACCGCAGTTTTTTATTTTTGTTATTAGGAAGACTCTGCTACCATGTTCTAGTCCAACTTGCAAACGATGGTAAATTGAACAAGTGAAACGTTTGTGAACATTTCTGTTGGTCTTAAGAAAGTAAAAACTTGAAAAGTATTTAATTTGTATATTTAGTTACATTTTTGGAGATCACCATTTTTCGTCTGCCTTGATTTTTGTCTATTAAATGAACATAATATAATATGATTAACTTATTATATTTTAGAACTATTTTTATCACAGTTTCTTTTTGTTCATCTCCATAGTATCTTGAATCAATGTCTTTATCAATCTGTTAAAGGGAACTTCAACCATTAAATATAGCGGTATTGCTGCCAAGTACGATAAAGTTACAATGCCCAGATGGTTTATAACCTGCAAAAAAAACGACATATTAAGTACGTGTGAGTGGTAAAATTATTATTTTTAATAATATTCTTTCATCCTTATCAATTTTCGATTTCGATGATTTTTTGAATTGGAGTGACAAA